CTCTGTGAGGTGGATTGATTCAGTGACTGGGGTAATCGGGATGGGTGTGTCAGAGGCAATGAGATTGGCATAGGATAGAGCACGGTTTAGGGCTGTTGTACATAGGGTCGCTGTGAGTCGCAAACGACTCCACGGCACATAACAACAACAACTTGATTTATGGGCATATTTCCCCCAAATGTAGAGAAGAGTTGCTTAAGAAAGAAAAAAGAATACATTTAGTTTTAAAACGGTAGGCATATCCCTCGGTAGTCTTTCTTAAAAGAACAGAATGTTTAGTACCACCAGTCAATGACAAATAACTGTTTTTGTATGATCTTTAGTTTCTGTTTTTCACAACTGGTTGTAAAGATGACTTTGGCTTCCTGTTGGATTTGACAAGCATTATATATCACATACAGAGAAAATTGATTAACTGTAGAGAGAAAATTATATAAATTGAATTCAGAAGCATTTTCTGTTTCTCATCATAAAATGATTGCTCCAAGAATACCATCTGATGACTTAGAAAGCCCACTGCAGTTTATGATATAACTGATAAAATCTGCATCCTTGGCCTTCCAACAACCTTTATACCAGCAGATGGTGGGCGTAAAATTGTCATTCATCATTTATTTACAATGGACTTTATTTATTCTGGTGTCAACAGCTGCCCCAGGGAGTGGGTTATTGAATTCAAATGTGAAGCTCTGGGTTATTTGCTTCCTTTCAAATTTGTCTTCAGAGCTTAGTTGCTAGGAGTCCATTCTGTGCTCTAATAATGATTCATGTATTGTGAAGCCGTTCAGAAATTGGGTTGTCAGAGATTGCCAGGCAAGGTAGTCTTGTTCCTATGGAGGGTGGGTCTGCATGTGTGACTGCTTGACTAGTGGTATTATGTAACTTTTTCCTAAAGCAGGTGATGTTTTTATCTTTCTCTTCATGGACCTCTTCTCTACCTGCCCAGGCTTCATAGGGATGTGAATATATGTATATGACAGCTGACTAAATGTAAACTCTACACCTTTTCCTTCCTAACAGGCAGGGCAAGAGTCTTTTCGCTCCATCACAAGGTCATATTACAGAGGCGCAGCAGGTGCTTTACTAGTATATGATATTACAAGGTGAGAACCTGAAAATAGTGCTTAATGTGGAGAATTTCTTAGTAATATGATTACCAATACTGAACATAATATATACTGAATATACTTTGCCCTTTATTTGCTGTTTGTTTGTCCTTAAAATTTGTATTTCTTACATCTAAATTTGCCACAGGAATCTACAACTGAATTCTTTTTATACAAAAAGGCACTCCCAAATTTATAACTTTGGTATTATTATTCTTATTCATTCATTGGAAGTTCATTAAATGAAATTAAATTTCATTTCTAAACTGAAATGTAACTCTCGGCTCAGAAACGCTACTTGAGACCTGTTTCTCATTACATAAATGGATATGGTTAAAATAGTTTTCTTTAATGGAATAAATACTATTCATATATATTCTTTAGCAGGAATAAATTACAAATCAAAATATTATTTCTTTTTAGGAGAGATACATTCAACCACTTGACAACCTGGTTAGAAGATGCCCGCCAGCATTCCAATTCCAACATGGTCATTATGCTGATAGGAAATAAAAGGTAAAAAACTCTGAGATTGAATTTTTACACTCATGTTGAAGGCTGTGCTATTTGTGTAGCTACTTTTTCTTTTGTCCAAATGTAAATTACTGATTTCTTATAAAATTTTGAAAGTTCTAAAGTATTTCTCATTAATAATAAAATAATTTTAAAATGGATAAGAAGGTCTGAATTAGGATACTGAAGAAAATGGCAAATAAATACATGAATGTATTTCTAAATACTTTACTAATTATGAGGGTAATGTACATTAAAGCCACAATGGTCATGTGGTGGTGTAGTGCATCACGATTGGGCTGCTGACTGAAAGAGTATTTTGCATACACTAGCCATTTCTAATGACAAAAGATAGGTAACCTCTTTTGAAGATTGACATCCTCAGAAACTTGATGGAAAATGACTATGAGTCAGAATTGACCACAGTGGGTTTGGTTTTAGTGTTACATCATTATGTTGTTGTTGTTGTGTGCCACTGAGTCAGAACCAACCCATAGCTCACTCTCCAGCAGGTTTTCAGAGACAGAAAATCACACAGAAGATTGCTCATCTTTCTCCCACAGAGGACCTGGTGGATTGAAACCACATGCCTTCAGGTTGGCAGCACAGTTTACTACCACAATGGCATTAATTAAAAGGATGAAACCAATAAAACATTGGCAAGTATGTGAAGGAACTGAAACTCTTTTTTTTTTTTTTTAGGTAACAATGAAATACATATATATTTTTTTTATTTAGGTGGTTTATTTTTCATTTCAATGAACA